TACCTGAATTGAACTTTCTTTATCACAAATGCCACTTCCACTATGCCAGTCGTTTTTATTCGAGTAAGCAGTATATCCTGATCAGTCGGCTTGTAATTCACATTTGATATTCTGTCAACGCTGTCCAAGAAACTAAAACGAAAAACACGTTTGTTCACCCTTCCAAAATAACAACTGTGATATTGTTCGAAAAATAACTTACAACCGTGTACTTTCGTGAAGATGACATTCTAATCGTTTTTCTTCGTAAACTTCTTGTACTGCTTTGTCTCCCCAGAGTTTCTGAATTGCATAGCATTACACCTGTATATTAACATAGGCCTCTTAAACCATATAGATTGTTGGGTTGCTGTCACGGTATGTATCTGCAGTAAATGCAATAATAAACAGTAAGGAAACAATGAGCAGTACCGTAGTAACCATACAAGGGGCTCTTCTTAAACTGTATATGCGAGTGGTATTAACACATAGGCAAAAATCCTTTAAGAATGTCTTTACGAGCAAGCTTCTTCAACGAATATGAAAGGTGTATTGTAACCCAATGTAATTTATAAATGGCGCTTTCTATAAACTATGATAATCTCGATGTTCGATGTTGTGTTCCAAAAGCGGGATGTAATTAGTTGATTTGTTTTGAGTTATAAATAAATTTGATAGCCTGTCGTGAGCAGTTAAATCATCTTTCGCCATCAGAAGACGCCAATAACTGATAGGGAGAGACATTCTCCCGCTGTGCTCAAAAACACATGCATCAAGTGGTGACCTTACGCACATTTGTCATTTTCATTATGGGTATCACAATGGTGTTACTATTACATTGCGAGCACAGTTTTTTGCTTCAGCGAAGATAAGGACCAAAGACTAGTTTACTTTCGACTAGCTGTGCTACATCAATAAAAGCAAAATCCTATTTATGTCACTCCAAAACAAGTTGAAAAACTGCCAAATTAATAAAGCAACCCGTTTAAGTACATTTCTTCTAGTTTAAATCGTAGGCAAATGTGATAGTTATAGATTTGCACTTAATATTGGATACAAAATTACTGCTGGTACTAATGTAAGTGATATGCCCTGAAAGTGAACAAGTCAGCCGCGATAGTTAATTCTATCTATTAGTTGCACTGTCTCGTAACATATATGTGGAAAAACTGCTGAATTTGCATTGGAGTGAATTATTTACTGACCACCACAAAATATTGTCTTTTAGTAGAATCAGAAAAGAAGAGAAGTGATAGGAACAAATTGATCTATCCTAATTTCCTATTCGAATTTCTCAAAGATTTTCTTTACAAACTATTGTGGCCTAAAAGTATCTCAGAATGCCAGCGGTAGGTGCGTAAATAGCAGAAAACGTTCATCTGAGTATTTGATGTGCACTAATTTTGACGTAGTGCTTTTGGCCAACGCGAAGATTTTTTTGCTGACCAGATTTTTAATGAGGTTTGAAGATGAAGCAGTTCTTCTTGTACAGCATAGTCCCATCTAGAGAGTACACCCAGAAAGTATAAGGAGTATGTAATTGACTGAATGAAAAATATGTATAGAGATACTTGTTAGAAATAGCAATACCAAAGCGCTCTTTTGATTTGCAAAAAAGGGCTTCGACTATATACGTGTTATT